TTCATGTGAGATATCCACTTTGTTCAGTTTTTTGGTTGTTGTTTAAACCTTGACGTTCAAGACACTATAAGAGGTGCAGTAGGAGAAATGATGATGGAAACAGCAAAGTTCATGCTCTTGAAGGTTTTATGGTTAAAAGACAACACACAGGTAACTAATATAAGACAGTGTGTGGAAAGATCTCATAAACAGAGATCAGAGGAGCTCAGAAGAGAGACAAAGTATTACCTCACTGCCCATGTTTGGGGCTGCCAACCTTGTCCTTGAAACCATATACACCCTGTTCAGCCTATACAGACTGAGTAAACACACACATTAAGTACTATTTTCCTTTAAATGTATGTAGATGCTCTGGTAGCCAATGATACTTATTTGATTACATTTATAATAACTTTTTGTCTAGTATATGTTTTCAATCCATGTTTTGTTGGTGGTGGTAAGTGCCGTCGAGCTGGTTCTGACTCATAGCAACCCTGTATAGGGTTTCCAAGGAGAGACTGGTGAGTTTGAACAACCGATCTGGTGTTTCAAACTGACTTTGCAGTCCAGTGCATTAACCTGCAGTGCCACACCAGGAATCAATAGATACTAATAATTCCTTTCATGAGCATCTGTGAAATGTTTCAGGTTAAACATTGGCCCAGTTTGAAAATTTGGGAATCATCATCTACAGCACTGCTGTCCAATGGAACTTTCTGTGAGAATAGCAGTGCTTTCTGCATTGTCAATGTGGCAGTCAGTAGCCACATATGGTCCTAAAGAACTTGAAATATGGCTAGGAGGACTAAGAAATTGAAATTTTTGTTTATTTCCATTTTAATTTTAAAAGCTACCTATGGTAGAGGCTACCATATTGGACTTGTGCAGATATGAGGGGGCTTCAAAAAGTTCATGAAAAAATCCATTATCTTTTCATTACAATTTTCCATGAACTTTTTAAAGCCCCCTCATATAGTATTCCCCACCAAGTTTCCTCTGCACTGCCCCTCTTAGTTTTCTTTGATTTCTGCCTACAAATGTGGTGGTTATCAAGCTACCACTTCCTTCCCTTCCTACCATCTCTATTCTTAAAGAAATGAAACCATGTTTAAAACCTTTTCTAACCATAGAAACACAAAAGCTTTTGATTGTGTGGATCATGACAAGCTATGGACAACATTGAGAAGTATGAGTATTCCAGAACACTTAATTGTACTCATGAGGAATTTGTACCTGGACCAAGAAGCAGTTGTTCGAACAGAGCATGGGGACACTGAATGTTTTAAAATTAAGAAAGGTGTGTGACAAGCTTGTATTCTTTCACCATACTTATTCAACCTGTATGCTGAGCAAATAATATGAGAAGCTGGGTTCTATGAAGAAAAATGTGGCTCAGGATTGGAGGAAGACTCATTAACAACCTGCAATATGCAGATGATACAACCTTGCTTGCTGAAAGTGAAGAGGACTTAAAACATTTGCTTATGAAGATCAAAGAGCACAGCCTTCGGTATGGATTGCATCTCAATGTAAAGAAAACAAAAATCCTCACCACTGGACCAATAAACAACATACTTATCAATGGAGAAAAGATTGAAGTTGTCAAGGACTTCATTCTTCTTGGATCAACTATCAACACTCACGGAAGCAGCAGTCAAGAGATCAGACGACGTATTGCATTGGGCAAATCTGCTGCACAGGAACTTTTTAAAGTATTGAAGAGCAGAGATGTCAGCTTGAGGACTAAGGTGCGCCTGACCCAAGCCATGGTATTTTCAGTAACCTCATATGCATGTGAAAGCTGGACAGTGAATAAGGAAGATCGTAGAAGAATTGATGCCTTTGAGTTGTGGTGTTGGAGGAGAATACTGAGGGTGCCATGGACTGCCAAAAGAACCAATAGATCTGTTTTGGAAGAAGTGCAGCCAGAGTGCTCCTTAGAGGCCAAGATGGCCAAACTTCATCTCTCATACTTTGGACATATTGTCAGGAGGCATGTTTGGTAAGATGGAGGGTCAGAAAAAAAGAGGAAGACTCCCAACGAGATGGATTGGCCAGGTGGCAGCATCGATGGACTCAAGTATGGCAACAGTAGTGAGGTTGGCCCAGGATCGGACATTGTTTCTTTCTGCTGTGCATAAGGTCACTATGAGTTGGTGCCGACTCGATGGCACCTAACAACAACAACAAACATAGAATTAAAAGGGGGACTTGCCCTTTTCTTACAGCCACTATATGATTTGCAGAGGCCATAAAGAGATTTCTGTATACCCAGGAAACATAAGATAGTTGTTTTCCTATTTCGTTTTTCAAAATTATATATGATCCTTCTTTTAAAATGGACTGTTTGGTAGACAGAGTTGCTATAAATCAGAATTGTTGGTAAGTGCTCTCAATTCAATTCTGACAAATAGTGACCCTGTGTGAGAGAGTAGAACTCTTCCTTTGGGTTTTCTAGACTATAATCTTTGTAGGAGCACATCTCCAGTTTCTCCTCCTGCAGAGCCATTGGATGATTACAAACCACCTGCTTAACATTTGCACCACCAGGTCTCCTTAAACTCAGAAATCAAAATCTTGCTTTTGAGTTCTCGTTAAGTAAGAGATGTTCGCTCTACTCTCTGGAGTCCTGTTGTGGCACTGTAGGATAAGCACTAGGCTGGTAATGGCAAGGTCAGCAGTTCAAACCCATCCGTTGCTCCTTGGAAACCCTATACAGGGTCACTATGAGTCAGAACAGACTCGATAGTATTTAGAAGCAATTCTGGTTTTCCCGTGATTGCTAAGGGTAACCAAATGGTCTTCCTCCTCTAACTCACCCTGAAACAACTGTGTAGTTTGCAGAACTTCACAGGTTATATATCTGTCTCCTGACATGTAGTTTCGGGTTTTTGAAGACCACCACAAAGTATATTATGATGGTTTCTATTAGGGTAACAAAACCACGAGGGATGGGCAGGTGTCTCAGAGCACAAAATTCACCTTTTATGTTTGTATTCCCATCAGTGTTGTTATTCAGCATGTCAAGTCAGTTCTGACTCATAAGGACCCTGTCTAGGGTTTCCATGGATTCCTGGTGTGGCACTGTGGTTTAATGCCCTAGATTGCAAAGTCACTTTGATTGTAAGGTCAGCAGTTCAAGCTCACCTGTTGCTCCTCGAAAATCATATACAGGGCTGGAACCGACTTGATGGCACTTCACAACAACAACAAGGGTTTCCATGGAGTGGCTGCTGGGTTTGAACCACCAACATTGTAGCCGTTCATTGCATATTCTTCAGGGCCACACCAGGACCCCAGTGTAATTGGTTTTCATTATAAACATAGTGCTAATTCAATTGCTAGGTAATTCTCTACTATTGTTTTTCCCAAAAGATTTTTGCCCTGCACTGTTATGAAGATGGAGGAGGAAGGGAATAACTTGTAGAGTCCAACAAGGCAAATGACCAAAAGTTCTTTGGAACTCAAGTCTGAGGCATTTCCATCAAACTAATAAACACCCTGCAAGAGTGGGTGGGTGTAGAAAGTCCACCAGAAGTGCTTGCTATCCCACCCACCCAAGAGAGATGACCAGTCACTGTTCTTAAGCACCCACTAGGTGTCTCTCTCATCTGCCTACTCTTCCTGCACTGAGGCCAGAGGCTTAAAGGTTTCAATAAAAGAAGCAAAATGAAGAAAGTTTCAGTTGCTGAATCAAGAAACCAGAATGTGTCCGCCCCCAACTCCTGCTGGGCTGTAACAATGCTCACTGAGGGAGCCAGCAAGAGAGGAAGCTTCAAGGCCATAGAGTAATGCCCACAGGATATAGAGTCACAGCTACATGACAATGAAAAGTCATAATTGTATCCTAATATCCATCTATTCTGTATAATGGGACTCTTCTACCCCCTCATTCTTTTGCAGAAATTTCCACCAACAGATACATCCTTACACGATTGTTGCTGACATTAAAATTTTATATCTCATAATACTTTCTTTTGCTGAGTTGCTTACATTCTAATTGAACACATCCCTCCAGCACCTGCTAATCTCCATTTTAAAGGGAATACATAGGTAGTGGGTCCGTCGTGGCTGTGGTGGTGGGAAAGTGTGTGTGTGTGCACGTAGATTTGTATATTTACATATATGCTTTGTGTAGTCTCTGTGTGTGTGTGTGTGTGTGTGTGTGTGTGTGTGTGTGTGTAGGGTGAATCAGGAAAGATGGGTGAAGAGGAGTGAAGCACAGAAAGAATGCCAGCCAGCAAAGAGGAGTTTACATTTGCCAATATGAAAAATCCTCCTAAATTTACTTTCCTGTCAATAGTAAATACAAAAGACTAAAGATAGAAGTTAAGCCTTCTCTGAGTTCCAAGAAGAATATCCATTCCTGGCTGTACTCCCACCTCTTGTATAGACGATAAGCATGAAGAGGTTTATGCTGAGAGCCCTCCATTCTTCGGGAAAGGCCCTAGATGAGCACTGCAGTTTGGGATCCCTACTTCTGTCCTCCCGCGGCCCCTCCTGGGCTCCGGCTGCCATGCGGCCTGCTTCCAGCCTTGGAGCAGCTAGGGTGGCCCTCTTCACACACTAGGTCCTTCCCCCTGAAGGCTCTGTACAGAAAAGTGAGGTGCCACCCTGGTCCCCACCCTTCTCTCATGCAGCTGGTTCTGTCATAGGAGTCCTTAACCTTCGTGTGTTCATTTTATATTTTTTCATTCAGGTTACAAATTACATCAAATTACTGTGTCTTCTAAATTGTCCTTTATACTGTGTGATTCTGTGTATATTTCTTTCATTAGGGTATCTTAGCCTGCAAGCCTCTGATCTTCACTGTAGGAAACTAATACAAGGTGAATCATCTGTCAGCAAACTTTGGATTGCTGGATATTTTAGTAAATTGCCTTCAAATGTAGTAATGAGGTTGCAGGTTTGATGAAATGCTTATGAATGGTGGCTTTAGGGAAATCAACATCTCTATTTTCAATATTGAATTCCAAGTTGCTGTGTATTAACACATCTGTCTTCTGCTTTTTTTATTTCAGTACCTACTAGAAATGAAAAGTTTAATCCTACCCCCAGAACATATCCTGAAGAGAGGAGACAGCGAAGCAATAGCATATGCTTTCTTTCATCTTGCGCACTGGAAGAGAGTAGAAGGGGCTTTGAATCTTTTGCACTGTACGTGGGAAGGCAGTAAGTAGTTTTCTGTATTTGAAATATTTTTTCAGAGTGTGAGCAGTACTGATTGCTTTTCCCCTGAATGCTTATGATGATTAATGAACGCTTGAACACCTTGAACTCTTGTCTACGCTGTCTCGTCTCTGAGAGACATCCCGTTACTTGGACTCCCCCATTCCCTGTTGGTGCTGGGTAGCATTCTACAGCTCAAGGAGGCAAGTTCATAAAATGGACTCTTTAAAACCAGGACTGTTCTGGCAGAGGACTTTCTGCCATCCTGAAAACACTCTTTGGAGACCCTGGGCATCACGGGCACCATTGGTATGGGTTAGACCTTATATTGTGCTCTGGTTACCACTTCTCAATGGCCCTTCTTGGAGATTGGTGAGCCAGTCACAGTTGTCCTGCATCAGGCCTAGGCCAGCTGTACACAAAGGAGCAACAGTTAATGGTCAAAACAAGAACTTGGTGGGAGGCATAGCAGTCGCTTGCTAATGGTTAAATGCCTGTTGGATGGCTGTAGAAATAAATCAATCAGAGTGTGTGCTATCTAGGAGTCCTGGGGTCACATTGGTTAAGGCTTTGCTACTAACCCACAGGTCAGTCATTTGAACTCACTAGCTGCTTTGCAGTAGAAGCAATGTGGCAGACTGCTTTATAATTTACAGCCTTGGGACCCTGTGGGGCAGTTGGACCTTCTCCTAGAGGGCTGCTGTCATTCAGAATGGACTCAGTGACATTGGGCAATGGATGTGATATTATCTGTCGTCTACAAATAGCCCCATTCTTGTCTGCATAATGAGAAGGGGCACTGAGAATGGGGAGACGCATGTTCTGCCCTGAAGCAGAGAAGTGTGCCAGCCATGGAGGAGAAGTAGCAACTGCCCAGTAATTTTTCAGCTGAGAGTGGTCTACAGGATGGAGCAGCCAGGTTAATTAACCTTATGAGTCTAATGAGACTTGAAATCTTGAAGAAGTAGAACAGTATTATAAACAAAGGACACTGTATGAAGAAATGCTAAGGGGTGGGACTATTTGTGGAGAATATAAATGAAGAAAAAAAGCCCAAGACTGCAGAGTTTTGTACAACGTGTGCAGACACTTTGCTGTCATTTATTTAAGCAACACGAGTACAGCAGGTAGCATGCTTTTTTTTTTTTAACCTTTCATGAGGAATCAAATTACAAATAAGATTCTTGTTATTTTTTTATTTTTCTAGTTCACTCCTATTTTGATCAGCCTCAGAGACACATGTCTTTTTAGTCCTTTTCACTCTGTGTATCTTACAGCTTCCATTTTCATTCCGAGAATCTTGGATTCCTCTCCCCTTTCCTGCCTTCCCTAACATCCTAGGAATCCAAGTTGATACAGAAGCACCAGTGGGAATGGGGGCGGGGTAGGGCGGGAGTGGCAAAATAGGATGGGGTGAAAGGTGAGTTGACAGATGGAACTCAAAGTTGGAAGTTTTCTGTTTCGTTGTTGTAAAAACCGTTTCTTTAAAGAATTATATAATGTGCAGTTTAGGACTTGAGTGATGTTGATTAGATTCCTGCTTCCTCTCGGTCCATCAAAGTAATAATATACTCTAGGTGTCCTAATCAGGGTCAGCAATGTCCCCAGGGTGAGATTGGTTCTCACCTCTGTCTTTAAGTCTTGAGGTGCAAGCTGTAGGTCAGAACAGGTGCTTACAGTTCATATTTAGCCCAAAGCCTTTAAGAAGAAGCCCGAACAACAAGCAAGTGAAGGTGACTGTGGTGAAAAATTTGTTGTGAGTAGCAGTTGGTTCAGTCATTTCAAAGTGAGAACACATTTACATAACTGTCCAAGCAGGAGTTGTCTGTCTGTCTAACCCAGGGACTGCCTGTATCTCTGGGCCTGTGTAGGAGCCCCTCTAACCAGGGCTTATTGTTGCATGTAGTCGGTTGTAACCAGAAGAGACCAAATTTTTTTTTTAATTTAAGCATGAGAAAGAGATAGAAAAGGCCTAGCCAGATTGAACATCAGAGACCTCACCTATGGTTGTATAAAAAATTAAATGGACAAATTAGCTCACAAAATAAGAACATACTTATAGATTGGTATCTTGGAAATCTAGCCATAGAACTTCATCAATTGAATCTGATGAGTCCAAGTAACCAGTTCTATAGAAAGGACCAAAAACAGTGGATTGGATGGGCTCAGCGTGGAGAGCATTGTAGAAACACCATGTTAGGAACAACACAGCTGCAACACAATTAAAATCCTGTGAGGAATAACTGGAAATTCTATTTGGAAATTAGCAGCATGTAATCAATCCTCAATGCTACCAGGAACCTATAGGAAAGAGAAATTGAACACTTGGTGCTTATATATAAATGGAAGTCACTGAAGTCCTGTATGGCACTGTAGGAATAAATAAATAAGAACTGGACTGCCAACTGCAAGGTCAGAAGTTCAAATCCAGATACTCCTTGGAGTTCCTATATAGGGTTACAAGCCCTATACAGAGTCACTAAGTGTTGAAACAAACTCCAGGGCACTTCACAACAACAACAGCTACAAGGAAGTGTCTTTGAAAATCAAGGCACTACGATGCCAGCCAGTTACATTCTGTATTCGAGTTGGGAAGAAAAGGTCCGTGAAACCAGCTACCTAACTAACTACTCCGTTTCAAGAAGGAGAGCCAGACATTCCACTTTAGAAAAGAACCCTGAGCATTTTGGCTGTGCACTGGATGCGTTGGTGAATACAGAGAACCTTGAAGAGTGTTTGTGTAACTGGGTAATTTACAGAGGGTTTGCATTTATGTCGTTTCATTTGACTCCTGATAACATTCTGAGTTAGACAGAACAGGGATGGCCATCTTGATTTTTCAAGAGATGAAACAGATCCACTTAGATGTCTGATTTGTTGAAGGTCACACAGCCGCTGTTGGTAGAGCCAGGATGTCATCCGAGTGCCCTTTTTCTTCCCACTGTTCTTTTCTGGTCCAGATTTGCTTGGACACCCACAATGTAAATTTGTATCACTATCTATACATTGTTGTCGTTTCTGCTGTTAAGTGCCATCAAGTTGGTTCTGACTCATAGCAAAACTTCACGCGGTTTACAAAGAGCTGGTGGAATTGAACCACCAACCTTGCAGTTAGCAGTCCAGTGCTTATTCCACAGTGCTACTCCAGGACTGTGTATGCTTATTACACCTGGTTTCTTTAGAATATTTGGAAAGCTAATAGTTCTCTATAAAACTGAGCTGTGTTCTTGAATACTGACTTACACATTTTAGATCTAGAATGAGCTCATTTTTACAAAAAAGAAAATATATTCTATGCATACACTAAGGAGAGGCTGGAAAGAAACACATCTGATTGCTTTAATGGTTACCACTGCATCCTGGGTTTAACTGATTTCATTTTTCTTCCTCATATTTGTACTTTAGAAATTTTTGAAAACAAGCATATATTTCTACAAGTATAAATTGTGCCAGGTGCACAATGGTTAAGCTGTTAGCTGCTAGCCAAAAGATCGGGCAGTTTAAACCCACTCAGCAGAACCATGAGAAAAAACACCAGATGATCTACTATTGTAAAGAGAGCTGTGTTGTTGTTGCTAAGTGTGACCTTGTGTAGGGTTTCCTAGGCTGTAACTCTTTCTCCCAAGGAGCAACTGGTGGGTTTGAACTGTTGGACCTTGTGGTTAGCAGTTCACTGCTTATCCTTCAGTGCCATCAGCACTCACTATAAAATACACGGCAGGAGAGAATACGAAGGAGGTTCTCTACTGCTCAACCTTTACAAATTAATTAAGTACAGTAAGTACTTATATAAGTAAGCCCTACTGTAAGTTCTATGGAGCCCTGGTGTGATGCTGTGGGTTAATGCACCAGACTGCAAAGCCGTTTGAACTGCAAGATCGGTGGTTCAAGCTCACCAGCTGCTCCTTGAGAACCCCATACAGGGTTGCTATGGATCGGAATCGATTCAACGGCACTTAACAACAACAACTATAAGTTCTGGGGAGTGCGGTGGATCCATAAGATAAGCACTGGACTACAAACCACAAGGTCGGTGGTTCAAACCCACCAGCCTCTCCTTGGGAGCGAAACAAGCCTTTCTGCTCCCACAAAGGTTTAAAGCCTCAGAAACCTTACACAGTCACTATGAGTCAGAACCGACTTAAAGGCACTCAACGACAACAACTGTATTACTTACAGTTAATAGTCCAGTGCTTATCCTACAGCGCCATACCAAAGCTTCACTACTTATTAAGTACTACTGTAGGTACTACTTTCTTAATTTATAAAAACAGTGAAGCATTGATGATGTTGAATGCCAGCCCCTTAGGCTCAGACCCCTGGCCTCTACGGAGGTGTGCTGGCCCTAGTGGAGAAGTCTGCACTTCCTCCACATCACCACTTGGTGGTGCCTTTTGACATCTCCAGCCTCCTAGTTTAGGGATTCTTGTGGGAATCCTTTTTTTCTTCATTCTGAAAATTAAGGCCACTCCCCAATTTCTTTCAACTTCCTTTTTTTCATTAAAAAGAATGCAAGGAGAAGTTTACAGCATCTAATCTTACCAAGCTCCATGTTAAAAAAAAAAAAAAAAAAAAAGATTATTCTTTTAATCAGTTTATCTTTTGGGGATTAAAAAAATTTAATTCAGTCAGAAATGTTGGTTGATGAAGGTATATGTTACTTTGGTTTGTAATTAATCTATTATGTTGAGCATTAATCATCTTGTGGAATTAAGTGCTTTTTCCACCAATCAGGCTGAAAACACTCCTATTTTTGATAAAACCCCAAGTCCCACTAATGTATGGCAGAGATTTTTGGGGTTTGAAACATATGGTGGTTTAAAAAAAAATCTGAATCTTCAACCACAAATACATCAGCATTTCAAAGGTTTCCAAAAATGTTTGATTCATCAGTGTCCCAGCCCCTAAAATTACACAATATGTTCCTCAAAGTCAAGATAATCAAGAAAGGGGAAAAGTTTTCATTTACTAGATTTTGTGTGTTTTGCCCTGTAGCTTAGTTC